AATCTAAATTAATAAAATGAATTAAAGTATATTATAAAATAAAAAGCAATATTTAATTTTCATCAAAACTTGTGTCAGTATTAATTATTTTTTATTTCGGAGCCATAGAAGGGAGGCTCCTCATTGAATATATGGTCTAATCTAAGGACAGAATATTAAAGTACATTTTTAGTGCCCTTTGGAAACAACAGCACTGCTCTAAAGCATACAGTTGGTCAATCTTTCTAATCCAACGCTGATGCTTAGCATTTTAAATGAACAAAAACAGCAATGCCAACCGAAAACAATCTTCTTAAAGACCACTTCACGCTTAATATCAATATTTGTCACTTTAACATGAATGAATTCTAAAGCAAAATGTGAAGTCCTAAGCAAAATCATGAACAAGGAAAGTTTATATGTAATTGTTATTAGGTTAGAATTGGGTAGAATTTACTAACAACACCATACTGGTAAACGATCACTGACCGTTTATAACAGTGTAAATTAAGAAAATCAAAGTATTGCAGAAATCCACTCGATAACACTAGAAACAATGAATAGATTAAGGAACTGGACGTGCATGTGTGAATTAATCACTCTACATTGTATTGTATTTATATTTATACACTATATATTTATTTACACTAAAAATCATATAACTAATTCTTTTAAATTAAAATTTTTGAAGTTTATAAACTAAAGTAATATTTGCTGTAATGTTGATTTGATGTTAAGCCATACGAATAATTACAAAAATAATTTCTTATTCATATCTGACACTTTACGTATACCTTGAATTGGGTAGAGGCGTAGTTATAATCATTTGCGGAAAAGGTTTTCAATATATTTTAAATTATATTTAGGCAGGAGGAGTATGGCCAAGAAATGTTTAGTGATAAAAATAACATAACCCGCATCTCACCTTTTAGTATTAATTTAAAAATATTTATAATTTTTGGTTTACTAGTTTAAACATTGTTATCGTCCAGTCATTTTCAAAAACGGTTAATTTTCTAATATCTGATATATTAAAATATGTATGTTACCATATAAAATAATAAAGTTTACACTTCTATAAGGTATAAATAATGAATCGAAAAAGTACTTAATAAATGATAAATTAAGAAATAAATAACACTAAATAAAATACAGTTTTTTCAAAATTATTATTATTTTAAGAGAAATTTCGATTTAAACTATTAAATAATATATAAATAATAAATAAAATGTATCATTTGATTTAACATTTTTGAATAAATTATTATGCTAAATTTAAATGACGATTTAACCACTATATTAATGGTTAACTACGTTTAATGATATGATTACAATATAATTATATTCTATTTATAATAATAGAAAAACTTTATTCTAATTAATAAATCTAATTTATAAAATGTTAAATAATAATACTTAGTATCCATTATCATAAAAAATTATAATTGAATAATCTTGTTGATAAAATGTTATCATAATATACAAGAGTTTGATTAGTGATTGTATATTTATTTCATCGTATTCAACTACTAAATAATGAGTGTAGTGACATATATTAATATATTTATTACTTTATGCAATAGTTTTATGTTTATAGATTGAATAATTATACTTAAATTTATTTGGATTAACAATACTGCAATTTTTTTTTTTAAATAATGGTGTCGTGATGTAAGGTAATTGAGTTTATAGAGTTGTTTTTCAATAATAGATAATTTATTGAATTTAAATTTAATCTTGATACTAAAATTAATTTTGTTTACAGAAAAAGTCATAAAATATTTTTGTTAAAAAATTTTTTATATTTTTATATTTAGGTCAAGTAGATTTAACAATGAATCAGAAGAATGATAATATGCTTAGTGTTGATGACACTGTTTTTGTTTTATTGGAGTCACTCAAATCAAATGGAACATTTGATGAGTTTCGTAGAGATTGTGTATCAAATATTGATGCAAAAGTGAATAATTGTTTTATTTATTATTATTATATGCTTTTATTTATAAATAAATTGATGTGTTTTTATATTTTATATAGCCTACGTATCAAAATTGGAAACAACGCATTGAGACAAATATTAGCAAATTTCTAAGTAAAGTTAAATACACACCAGAGTTAAATAAAAATACAATTCGAGAACGTCTTAGGAAACATTTATTTGATGGGTTAGTTAATAAAACATATTTGATAACACTTTTAATTATGCTATAATTGTATTAATATTAATATATATAATTTAATATGTTGTCAGAATTTACTATGCTTTATCTATCTTAATTTTGTAGTTAATAAATTTTTATAATTATTAACTGTTGTAATAATTAGTTTTTAAATTAAACTAAAATATTAGTACAATTCTTAAATATTAACCTTTTAATTTGAGTTGTAATTTATTTTATTTCATTCTTTTATTTATATTAGCCTCGACATAGAGGGCATATAAGGTTATTGGTATTTTTTATTCAAGTATAATTTTGAGTACTAAAATTAAAATAATGTTATTATTACAAAAATATTGACGTATACTTTTCTTTTTATTTCAAAATTAACCAATGATTTTTTATATCATGTATATTTTATAAGTGTTTTAAATTTTTAGTGGATATATGTTTTAGAACTTTTAAAACATATTTTAAGTATGTAAAATGAATTTTTTTTTTTCTTAAAACTTATTTTAAACAATTTTTTATTTTTAATGCATATAAGTGCACATTTCTGAAATTTTTAGTGTATATTTGCATGTCTATTTATGTATTATTTAGGGCATAACATATAAGGCCTGGTATTAATTTAATTTAATAACATTTCTATGATAATTATTGAAGTATTTACATTTGAAATGGTAAAGAATATACTAATATATTAACTATAATTAAAAATACAAAGCACAATGTTCATAAAAATATGTTTTTTAAAACATAAATTAGTGTTTTAGTGTAGTAAAAAAAAAGTTGTTTGATTTTCAATATAAAATTTTTGATCTCCAGAATATTTAATATTTCACATATTTTTTGAACCTACTAATCTTTTTTTACTATAGATGTGAATCTCGAGAAATAGAAGACGGTGCGGACAGAATTTTAAACCAAGTATTAGCACCTAGAACTATAAGTGTATTTGAATCCAAAATAGAATACATAGTTAACGAATATTTAGGAATCAAAAATGAAAATACCAATCAACACGAACACAATGGTTTGTTTACTTTAATTACTCATTAAAATTCTTTTAGCAATTGAAAGTATTGTGATTTTTACAATATATAATAGTAATCTTTAATTGAGAGCTAGAGGCTGATAATAATATAACAAAATTTTTTATATATCTATTTGGGAAATAAAACTTAACAGAACATGATAAAAAATTTCTTCTTTGCTCTTAAAAATCTTAACTTTAAAATTATCATAAATGCAATTACATACCTATTGATTATAAAAGAATATGTTATTTTTTTGAAAATTTTATATGATCATTTTTTTATTATTTAATCTTAGAACACCAAAAGTATGAGTTTTAGTTGTTATTGTCATTAATTTACAGTAGTAATAGTTTAAATCCATTTATTGTAATTTGTTATTTTTCTTGATGTCTTATAAAATTCACGCTGGGTTCTGGATCTTTTTCCTATTAACCAATATTCATTAATTGATATCCTGTCTTTATTTGTATACTTTCTTCTTATTACACTTAAAATTCATATAGTTCATTATTATATTTTGGTAATTTCCTTTATTTCTATAACTTTGTTTTATCAAACATTGGTCTCACTGTAAAATAAATAAAAATAGTAGAAATAAAATACTAAAAAAAAAAAGTATGTCATATTGTTTTGTTAGTATTTTATTTTCAAAGCAACTTATAATTATTTTGTACAGTTTTCAGTTATGTTTTGTAAATATTTGTAACAACATTTTATAAATTAATCTTAGTCATATAATAAATTTCCCTCGTTTCCCATAAATGGAGAAAACCTCCAAAAAAATTACAAATTTTGAAAATCGCAAATTTTTCCATTTTTTTTATTTAAAATTGCAATAACTTTTTTAAAAATAACCAAAACAATATAATATTTTTTTATATAGATGGATGATATCATTACCTTTCATTTGGTATAATTTTTTTATAAATCTGACCCTTTACCTGCTCATAGGGGGGGATTTAAAATGACAACTTTTTCAACTTTATTTTTGAAAATGTTTCGGAAAGTCTGACACTTTTATATATATCTTAAATTAAAGCTAATGTAATATACTTTATCATGGAAAAAAAAAATTTCGGACTTTATTTTATTTTCATGGTGAAAACTGACATCAAAGTTAATAAAAAATATACGATTTTTGTAAAAAAATTCTTTTTTATATTTTTAACTTTATAATGCTATAACTTATTGAAAAGTGTATGGATCAACACAATTTTTTTATGAGAAATAATATTTTTTAATAATCCCTTTTTCATTCGACATACTTTATCTTAATCAGGATATTAATAAGGAACTAGCAGATCATGTAGCTTTTGGAATAATCANCATTATATAGGCGTATACCCATAAACATTTTTAGGACTACACCACTGGGAATAATCCATCAATTTTGTAAAATTAAACACTATGAAAGATTTGCATCGATGAGTTTTTTTTTTTTGTTAGTGATTAAATCACTGTCGGATATTATTATACTTGATCCAACTATGCTACGACCCCCCTGTGCTGGGTTTTTAGATAAGCATTCAGTAAAAAAAAAAAAAAAAACTTCTTAAATCTTGAAAATGGCACCGATATGTTTTTTTATTTTTTATTTATGATTTTTTTTTAGTTGGTTATATTATATGATTTTACACTATCTGTAAATATAGAATTTTAAAATAATATTTAATGCACAAAAATCTTTTGAAAATGAATGGATAATAAAAAATGCAATAAATTTTTTTGTTATTAATAATTATAAAATGTTTCAATAATTAATTTTGTAGAGAAATTGTTAAGTGTCATAATTGTATTTTATTTTTTTAATGAGACGTGGCTTATTTCTGTAATTATTGAATTTTTATTGTATTTATTTATTTTTATTTTTATTACATTAAATACACTGTATTATTGTACCTAGGATTTCGTGGATCAAGTGTTAATGTTAACAATTTGACTGAAATTAAAATTAATGTCTCCAATCAAGATTATGGTAATTTAATGTGCACATTTTTTTAAGTTTGAAATGACTTTTTAGTAGTAACATTTTTTAATAATAGATTTTAAATATATTATTTTTATTTTAATATTATTTTAAAGTAATATTAATGTAAAATTTTAAAGAATTAAGTTAGTAACTTTTAAACAAAATAATACATTTTAATATTAATATAAATTAATTATAGTTCAAAATAATTTTTTTTAGACCAAACTAAAACAAATGACATTAATGAAAGTGCTGATGTTATCTCTCCAGAGTTTGAACCTTTAATATCAGGGTTAGATGAAAATAGTAATGATGAAAGCATATCTGGAATGTCAGATTTGAATAGTATTGGTGGAAGTCCTGTGCAAACAACTAATGAAAATAGTGAAAATAATCTTAATGGCTTTAAATTTGAAAATATATCTGTTGATTTAATTAAAAATGGTGTAGATCCAATAAATGAAAGTGATAAAACAGATATTAATAGAAATACTAATAACACAGAAAAACCAAAAACAATAGATTCCAGTCCTAAAAGTAAAAGTAATTTATTTACGAGTAGTAAAATTCAAGACAAATCACATATAAGTAGTAATAAATCTGAGAAATCTAAGGAAAATTGTTCAAATAGCGTAGAAAAAAACAATTCTAAAAAAAGTAAAGACTTGAAAGATAAAAAATCTAGTAATCATAACAAACATCGCAGTGAAAATAAAGATAAAGAAAGAAAACATAGACATGATAAAAAATCTCATCATAGTGACAGAGAAAAATCACCAAAAAGAGATAGAAAAGATTCTCGACCAGATATGAAAGAAAAATCATCTAGCCTTTGTAAAGAACCTAAATCAACGAATGGGAATCGAAGTGATGATGAGAGTAATGCTGGTGGTTCTTCTAAACAAAAATCAAATTCTCATAAAAATAAATGTTCTACATCTGAAAAGTCAAAGTCATCATCTAGTCACCATAAAAGTAGTAGAAAAGACAATGGAAATAAAGACGTTGTTGATAAACCAAATGATAATTCATCTGATATTAGTTTAGCTAAACATAGTAAAGAAGCTAAAAATAATGACAAAAAATCTAAAAACAATGAAAGAGTTGAAACTAAAACTATTGACCAGTATACTAGATCAATTTCTACCAATAAACTTAATACAGAAAATTTTCTTTCAGCTAAAATCCAAACTGAAACTAAAAATTCAGCAGAAAATCTAAATAGAATGATAAAAGGAAATTCTTCTTCAAATTCTAAACAAGAGGATGATTTTTTACTAGAATCTGAAAAATTTAATCAAATAAATTCAATAAATGATGTTAGTCAATATATTAGATCTAAGAATTTAGATGAAATATGTAAGTCTCCTATTAATAAAGATTCAGCGTCTCATACTGAAGTATCTGATTCTACACATCAAAACATTATTACTGATAGTAGGAGAAATGGTGAAATTGGTTACAAATTAAATACATTACAAAATAATCTAAAAGAAACTTGCAAAGATAAATCAGTTCATAAAAATAAAAAAAGTAAAGAATTTAAAGATAAAGATAAAATTATTAACATATCAAAAAAAAATAGTAATTTTACAAATAAGTTTAGTGAGTTCACTGAACCGCTCCATGATGACTTAAAATTAAAATTAAAACGTATTGGAAAAGATAAGTATAAAAGAAATTCAGAAGTTTATGATAGTACTCATGCTAGTAAAACTAAAAAACTAAAAAAAGCATCTGACATATTGAATGATTTAGATGTTCCTCATTATGATTCTTTTGAAAAAAATAATGAGTTCAAAACCAAAATAAATTTTAAAATAGATAAAAATCTAATGAATATGTACTTAGAGAATAAAAATTATGATATTTCTGAACATGATAAATCTGATTTAATTAAAGGTTTCATAGGATTCAACCAAATGGAAGCTATTCCTTGTCAAAATTATGCAAAATTGAATGATATAGTAACAGTCTTACAAGATTGTGCTAATAATATTACAGAGAAATGTGGTTTTAAAGGTTTTACGTCAACAGATGCAATCCATTGTAAAAATAGAGATATTGTATTAACTCAACTTGTTGATATGAAAAACGATAAATTTCAAGGTTTTTCTAATGAAGAAGTTCAAGTTTGTTTTGGTCATAAACAAGTTAAACATCATCTTGAGATCATCAAGAATCAAATTAGTGCCCCGGAAAAAAGTATTCATAATGATGTTGCTAATGGAAGTAATGGCACTCGAAATGGTAAAACTTTAAATAATGTGATGGCTTTTTTATATGAAAATGATGAAATATCAGATAGTAAAACAAATATAATTTATAATCAGCCAACCATAAGTAGTTGTAAGAGTGATATATTACCAACAACAAACAATAATAATCGGGAAGAAATAAAAACTTCAAGACATTGGGTTGATGAGCAGGAAATGAAGTATAAGTTATTGCCTGTTAAGGTTAAGCTAGAAAGATTATTAGAATGTAGAACTAGTGGTGAGTAATGAATAATAATTGGGTATTGAATTTTCTAACATGCTTAATATTTTATATATTTATTTAAATATATATATTTTGATTTATAGATACTAAATATTTATCAGATGCTCGACAATTGCCTGGTGCCTCTAATGTATCGGAAAAAAAAGTACCTACAAATATTTAATTTAAAAAAATTATATAATTAAGTAAATGTTAAATAACTAAACAATTATTTCACTTTTATTAATCATTAATTGGCAAAAAAAGAATTCTTATATATATATATGATTGTAAATGACAATACATCTATGATAAACATAACAAACAAAATCCGAAATTTATAAAAAATTAGGTGTTATATTATTCTAGCAAATTATTTTGAAAATATCCAGTGATATCAATGATCAACTCTTTGTATTTATACATAATAGATCTTATTGATTTAAAAAATAATTCAGTGATTGTTTCTTTTATTTTATGTAATTTATATTTTATTCAGACAAGTTATATCAAATATTTTTTTTGCTGGTGTTGAATTATTTAAAAATTTTGTAAATAAGGCCCTAACTTGTATAATATTCCTGTTAAAATTCTATTGCACTTAAATTAATTAAACTATTAAACAAATTTCGTTTACTATTTACTTTCACATCATATCCATATTTTTCAGCCATACGTTGAGAACATAATAATTCAACAATATTTTTTAATCACTTTTCTCCAAGATAAAACTTAAATACCAGGTAAAAATAAGGTGTTTAATTAAAACAATTTTTGGTGAGTTATGGATTTAGTGATCACTGTTTAAATTAAAAAATTTTCTTTTCTTATTTTATGCAAGATCAAAAAAATATAAAAACACAACTAAAATAAATGCAATAAATTTATTGTTGAGACAATTTTATAAATTTTTATTGATTTGCTGAAAAATGATTAAAATTAGATTCTGAATCTCTCTTATTATATTAAGTATTAAGAACTTTAAATATGATATTATTGATAAATTGTACATGTATGCAGAATAAATTGCAAAAAATAAAAGTAGACTTTAAATAAGTTTTCTTTTATTTGCTTTAAATTTAACCACAATATATTTGTAAATGTGGGTGATTATGATTAATTTTTGTGTATGCTTTATTCTTTATTATTTAAGGATAATAACAGCTTATAAGTTTTATTAATCAAGCTTTTGTTGTGTTTTTTAATTAATCAAGTATACCAATTTAAATATTTAATCATTAAGTTGTTTAGTTAGTTAACTCATTTTATAAATTTTTATCAATATATTGTTTAAATTGTAATATTGATTGAAAATTTATAAAATTGTTTCTTGTCCCCTAGTAATTTAAATAATAAATAAAAGTGATATATATATATATAATCATTTTTGCTTTGATTTTAAAAGAAATTACTTTTACTTAACAATTATTTTAGTTTTTATTCATAATACTGCACTATATTATGAAATATTAATATATGTTTCAAAATACTGATTTTTTGTTTTGATTTAACAGATGATTAATTATTTTTTAAAAAATACTTAAATAACACCTATAAATGTTCATTTCAAATTGTCAAATATTTTGCGCTTATAATTGGCATTTTTAACATGATCGTAAAATATTCTTTTATTAATAATTAATAAAGTTGTTTGTTTTTAATTAGGACTGAAAACAAAGGAAACATTTTGTGAAAGTATTGAAAAACATCATTTGTTTGGTAGATAAGACTGAAGACATTTTTCTTTAGTGTGACAAAAACTGTAAAATATACATTTTTCATTATTTATAAGAATAATATTTAGTATTACAACAATTTTTTATTATTATTTAAAAAATGATTTTTGTTTATGTTACTCGCAGGAAATATTTAAGTTAAAAATAATTTCTTTTATAGTTTATCTAAGCTATTAATTGAGTAGCTTTATTAAGAAAAAAATTGTATACATGTTGATTTTGTTTTAAATTCATTATTGAATTAACAAAAACTTACTGATCTACAACTTTAAATTATTGACATTTTTTTTTAAATTTAAAAAACATTATTTTTTAACACTAAGTGAAAAATTTGTATGGTAATTTAATCTGTAAGATCAATTATGAGCTAAAAATTAAATATTTTTTCTTTTATATACAACAGATTTTATAATAATACATATAATATTTTATTATATTTGTCTACAAAAATATTAAATTAAAAATAGAAGTAATTTTGCAATTAAATTTTTATATCATTAACTACTTTGAAAATCTATACTATTCTAATCCGCAAATTATCTTCTTTCAGGCATAGTAAAAAAATATTTATATCTATATTTAATAAATATTTATCTGTATTTTTTACTTAATAACTTATAATATAAGGGCTTTTTTGTTAATTACATTATTCATAAATATGTAATGTTATTTGTTATGTCACAAATTGAAAGGTGAACCGTTTATAATTGTTATGTCTTTATCTGTTTTTTATTGCGTAAGAGAATACCTGATTGAATCTTTTTTGACGTACAGGTTGGGTCAACATCTCATTATTTCTGTCGGTGACTGCTAGATAAGGCGATTAGAGAAAAAACACAATTTAAATTGTTTATCGGTATTGATCTATTCCAAAAACACAGGCCGTTATTGCTTCTTCTATCAGAGTTGTAGTGTACAAGTTTCTTATTTTTTTTGTCACTGTTGTATCAATGATTAAGTAGAGCCGCCAGCAGCGAACTGTCTGTTCTTTTAGGCGAAACATCCAAACCATTGGATGGGTATCTTCGGAAATCGGCTATCGTTTTTTATAATTAAATTTATGTAATAAGCTGTAATTTATAAATAATTTAATTTAATTTTTTTATATTATTAATTAACTTAATTTTATTTATGTGTGGAGAGCTTGTGTTTCCTCTTTACACTAGCCAACACTAAAGAGCTAGTGTCCAGACCGGATGTGTTTTAATACCATCCGTGATGTTTGTTATGTTATTTCATTTACTTTTAATATTTTATTTATTTGTCTGCCTCTATCTTTGTAAATTTTTATTTAATACCCTCATATTTTTGTCCATGTTTAATTAAAAATATTAATTCAATATATTGAACTTTGAAAAAATTATGGCAATTGAAAGAAAAAAAATATTTCGAAATATGCAAATATTAATAATTGTAATTTTTTGGGTCTTTCTTTTATTTGCGGGGATTGTGGGGAATAGATGAAATCAATTGTCAATTAACTTGAACAATATTTTCTAAACTCCGAAATTTAAAAATAAAATTTACATAATCAATATGTTATCTTGATATAATACTCAAAGGGCAATTAAAATATGATATTGAATCTATTTTAAAGGAGTCATGAATTAGTCTCCTGGATTCGTCACTGCACCCGTTCGCCCATGTATTAAATTGGGCCAACTTAAAATATAAGCGATTATTTTATTAAACATGACATTTTATATAATAGTGTGATTGAATTTTACAAATTTTATTACAAAATTAATATCAACACAGATATATACTAGTTTTTATAATTTATAATTTTCTTATTGATTAGCGATTAAATAAAAATTTTCAAGTTTTAGATCTAATATTTTATTTGATCCTTAGAATATTACTAGCTTGTTTTAACGTTAACAAAAGTAGAAATTTATAATCTCTATTTTCGTATAATTTTTAAAACGAATTAAATTAAAACATAATTTTAAAATAAGATAATATAAGTTTTTATATATTGGTTATAACATATTATATAAATATATTTATAATATACAACTGGTTATACTGTATTCCTGGGCGTTTCCCTGTCATCGATTTATATTCTTATCAGTAAAAAGTTTTTGTATGTAAAAATTTAATAATGATCCCGTCTTGGTTTTAGTTAGTTAATTAAAGCCTTAAAATCAGTCCCAAATTTTCTAATAATGTTAAAATATATTAATATTGTACTGCTATGTTATTTAGCATGTACGTGTGCATTATCCTTCAACCAAGTTCCAGTTATGTTGTTTTCCTGTGGTCAAACAAATTTAGGAACTATTGCTAAATATCAACATGCTATGGATAGTGATGAATTTACTGATTTAATAATGAAATTAGCTACCAAAGATGTAAAGTTTGCTACATTTTACGAAAATTCATTAAGTTTAGAAGATTTCAGATGGAGAGGTATGCTATCTCTATAATTTATTTATATGTTAAGTAACATATTAGCAATTATTAATAGATCTACTCATTAGTTAAGGTGTGGTCCAAATTACATTTATAATTATTTTAAAATAATATATTAATTTTTATTTGTTAATATGTAAGTTAGTGTTTTGAGGAGTATGAGGCCACATTAATTTTTTAATTCTCTAGAATTAAGAAAGTAATACTTTTGAAAAATAATACTTGTGTATTATTTATATTGAAAATTATAAGCTCATAAATTGGCATATACCTTAAGATAAAAATAAAGGCTTTTTAGGGAGACTTCACTGATAAATGTTTTAATTTTTTTTTTCTTTTCTAAATTTAATATATTTTACTTTATTTTTTTTTTTACAAAATGTTATGCAGTAAGAGTTAAGGATTTTTTTGCAGTTGAGTGACATTACTACTAGTATTAAAGCTGCTTGTATAAATTTAACTATGGACAAAAAATTTCTTTTCCATATATAACTTTATCATATTTTTATTCTTAAAATAATCATATAATACTAATAATTAATGCTGAAATTTTCACAATCTTAAAGGCAATTATTCATTTGGCCTATAATTAGCATATTTTGGTTTCTAAAATTGATTTTAAACTTTTTTTTTATGGAGCAATACAAATGTGTTCTGGATAGAACTGTCACAATTACTGTGTTCTCAGGACTATTAGTCTCTCAGTGCGCCTTTGGAATAACTACAATATTGCTTAATTATTAAATTAAGTGTTTTTTAAAAGTGTAGCTTTCATAAAATGATGTAATAGTTATTATTTGACATTCTATTATGTTATTTTATTAACTTTAAAAAGGTTTTTTTAGAGAATTCATCTAATACTAGTTTGTTCTTAAAATCCTGTTTATAAAAAAAATTATGTCTCATTTGATATTTGTGATAATAAAGTATAGTTAGTATGAAAAAAATCTAATACAATCCAACAATTCCACGTGAATTGTTTTGACTTTGATATGAAAAATTGTGGAAGTAATGTCATAAAATTTTTTTTAAGACAAATCCTCTTAAAAAAATGAGACATTTAAAAATTAAGTCTTTCAAGCGACTTAATAAATTACTAATATTGTGTTTTATTTTAATTTTCATTTGACCAAAATACATTAAATTGAGATAAAACATATTTAACTTGCATTGTTTTTGCAGCGAATAGAAATTTATAATATAAAAGCTAAATTGAGAAATAAAATAGATAAAAGTATAAATGTTAAAAATATTATGATGTATATTGAAATAATTCTTTAAAATAAAATGACATATTTTTTAGCTTTGATGCGAAGCTGAAAAGGTATTAATTTTACTATCATGTGTTTTTTTTTTATTTTTATTTATTTTTTTGCATCTGTTACCACTCAATCTCAGCTCTAATCAATATATATATTTTTTTATAAATCTGACCATTTACCTGCCTATAGGAGATGATTCAAAATGACAACTTTTTCACAAAAAATTAACTTTTTCAACTTAAATTTTGAAAGTGTTCCGGAAACTCTGACACTCTGATATATATATATCTGATAAGATATATATATATATATATATATCTTAAATTAAAGATTATGTAATATACTTTAATATGAAAAAAAAAAATTTTGTAACTTTATTTTGTTTTTATGGTGAAAACATACATCAAAGTTAATCAAAAAATACTTTATAAATTACAAATGATCTTTTTGAAATATTTTTTATTTAACCATTGACAATATTTATTCTGATTATATTTTAAAATTATTTTTTATATTGTTGTTCATACGAAGCTTAATAGAATTATCTTACAGGTATTGATGGCCGAAGTGTTTTTCCTTTGTTAGAGGCATTTGTTAATCGTCGTTTTATTCCTTCAGTACCTGAACCAAATAAAGCAATTCAATTGTTAAAAAATTATGGATATTTCTTTGAAAATTTCAAAAATGATGTTATTTTACCTAATTTAGAAAAACTTGTATTATCAGTTGAATTAGAAGATGCCAAATCATCTGAAGAAAGACAAGAAATGTTGGGTAGACATGATTTGAAAATTGTACAGTCTTTTGAAGAAATGTGTGAAAAATACGAAAATGTGATTGGTATATTAACTGGAAATCGAAATGCCTGGATTGAATCAAATGATTTTGCACATCATTTAGTAGCTAGGCATTTAATGGAAATTGATGATAAAAAACCTTTAGTATTAAAAGGTAAAGACAAAGTTTTAATATTCTCCCAAAATTATCCGACCTTATCAATTAATGGAAGTCCTGCTATTGAACTTGAAGAACCAAGTTCTGCTGGTGAAAATGTATGTATTACATTTTTTAATTATTAAATTGTAATTAAATTATATTTTATATTAACATTAAAATTATTTTTAGGTATACATGGATGACTCACGAGATAATATGTTAAAAGTCACCAAGACATTAATGGGAAATGATTCAAAAATTACATTACGTTTCCGTTTTGTAAAACAATCATTTAATTGGCAGTTGGAATATATTGAACTTGAAAGAATTAATGAAAAATCTGTTTTTTTGTATCCACAAAAGACTATAGAATCACAATTAGGCATGTCTTATTTCATTGAAGGACCTGTTGTTTTTAAAAATGATTCAATTGTTTTGACATTTAATGGAAAATTTCAGGTTTTTACAGTTTAAAATAAAACATTTTTGTAAAACTAAACTTTTGTATATCTATAACTTATGCAATTATTAATATTTTTAAGGTTCAACCATGGATTCCCTCCTCAACAGAAAGCATTAAATTTGGTGAACCTCAAGAACAAGATGCATTTTTCACTCCTCCAATATTAGCGGGATTATTTGTGACAGCACTACTATTGTTTATTGTAACATGGGGTATTATGATGATAATGGATATTAAAACAATGGATAGATTTGATGATCCTAAGGGCAAAACTATAACAATCAATGTTGTTGAATAATTGTACATTCCATTTATGATGTTGATTAAGTATTTATTTAAAAGTTTATTAAAAAAATAGTAATACTTAATCTTAAGTTGTACTTTGTTATATTTAGGAATTTATTTGTAGATAAAATTAATGAACAGTATCCTCCTTGTACAATACCAATATTTGAGTTTTTGTTAAGATATGTTTTAAATTTTTGGCGTATTTAATATAATAAATTAGTTTTCTAAATTTTAATTTAATTAATTTTTATATATATGTTGTTTTTATTTATAATTTATTTTTCTTAATTTTTAACTTATTTTTCATTGTAAATTATTCTCAAAAATATCCTGTGATTTAGTTAACAAATATCAAGAAGCACTGATAATAAAATTTTTTTTCTTTAATATTGTCACTTGTAAGTAAATGTTTATGACAATGAAGATGAGAAAAATGTCAAATACAAATAGTATTTNAGTAAATGTTTATGACAATGAAGATGAGAAAAATGTCAAATACAAATAGTATTTTTAATTAATGATAATAGTCTCACCTATTATATAAAACAGGTGAATGTTTTATGCTAGGATACTAGAATAAATATAAGTCTATATCTCTTAATCATATGTGTGGTACATATAAAGACTTAGATCACTCTCCTAGAAAACAACAGTCCGAGCAAAATTATTGAAATACATTATCTAATAAAGTTATATTCAGCGATGTAACACAATAATGTAACCTCATGAGATATTTTATATTGCTGACTAAGAGATGTTGTAAGTATTGAAGACTAAAGTTTTGTAGGAGAGCAGTTTCAAGATATAAATTTGTTTAAATAAAATAAGTGTGCTATGCTCTTCTTTTTTAATTCTCATTTGTTTGTAAAATTTTTCATAGATTCATAAATATTAATTATGGTTTTTATGTTTTGTTGTTAGTATATTACTTTATTTCTTTACGCCTTTACATTGAAAAACTATTTTCTTGCATGTACTTTTATGTGTTGATTGGAATACTATGTCACAAAGGCAACTCACTGAATTAGCAGTATATCTGCTAATAAAATGTAAAGTATTTGTATTTTATTGTAGATATTAAGAATCTTACGAACATAAGATGATTGCTGCAATAACTGTTGTGTAGGGCATGCAATATATATGGGCTTTGTGGTTTGTTTATAATGGGAAAAGGCCTATTCTTTTTAAACGTCTAGTTGGGTTAGCATTATAAAGTTAATAAATGCAAAATATATTATTAGGAATTGTTTCACAAAAATAGCATATTTTTGAATATGACAGTCATTTTCATCATGAAGACAAGTCCAAATTTTAAAGTTATTTTTCTCGACTTAAAAAAAAAATTTTAATTTATTAAACTTTCTATGATATACCAATTTAATTTATATAATATTTATGAAAATTAGTGTACTCCCCTTGTCAGGTATTTTAAAATAAAATAAAATACAAAACCCAGAATTTTAACACAAAAATAACAAATTTTTGAATACGGTAATCATTTTCACCATAAAGATAAATCCAGAGGTCAATTTTTTTAGCTTCGATACGAAGCGAAGAAGGTATTAATTTTACTATGTGTTTTTTTTTTTAGTTTCGATGCGAAGCTGAGAAGGTATTAATTTTACTATGATGTGTTTTTTTTTTGTGTGTCTGTTGCCACTTTTTCTCAGCTCTCACTGGACCTATTTCTTTCAAAAATATGTCAAAAGATCACAAATCGTATCTAGTTGAAGACATTACCCTTAAAAATTGAAAAAAATTCCCTCGTTCCCCGCAAATGGGGGAAATATCCAAAAAAATTACAAATTTAAAAATCGCTAATTTTCGAAATTTTTTCACTTTTTTTTCTTAAAACTTCCATAACTTTTTGAAAAATCAACAAATCAACATAATTTTTTTTTATACTAAAACCTTAGATATTTACCTTTCATTTGATATCATTTTTTTGAAAATCTATCACTTAACCTGCTCATTGGGGGGGATTTAAAATGGCAACTTTTTTACAAAAATTAATTTTTTCAACTTAATTTTTGAAAATGTTCCGGAAATACTGCGTCCTTTTAAAAATCGCTAAATTAAAGCTTATTTTATGTACTATAAAATGAAAAAAGACGGTAGCACAGTGAGGTCGCGGCATAGTGGAGACATTGCATAGTAGGGTCCAGTATAGATTTAATCTGACAGTGATTAAAATCACTATCATAAGAAACGCTTCGATGCAAATCTGTAGATAGTGTTTAATTTTAAAAAATTGATGGATAATTGCAAAAGCAACATCAACTTCTATTAAAATAAAATACAAAACCCATAATTATCATACAAAAATAGTATATTTTTCAATATGGTAGCCATTTGCGTATAGAAGATAGATCGTCGGGACAAATTTTTTTTTTTCATTTTGTAGTACATAAAATAAGCTTTAATTTTATATATGTTTAAAGGACGCAGTATTTCCGGAACATTTTCAAAAATTAAGTTGAAAAAGTTATTTTTTGTAAAAAAGTTACTATTTTAAATCCTCCCAGTGAGCAGAATAAGTGTTAGATTTTCAAAAAAAATTATATCAAATGAAAGGGAAATATCTAAGGTTTCAATACAAAAAAATATTATTTTTATTTGTTCATTTTTGAAAAAGTTATGGCAGTTTTAAGTACAAAAAACATCCCGATAAAATGTAATTTTTATCGCAAACATTACATTTTTTTTTAAATTTTCGACAGCCATTTGCACATAGAAGATAAGATGTCGGGACAAATTTTTTTTTTTCATTTGATAGTATATAACATAACCTTTGATTTGATATATGTTTAAAGGACGCAGTATTTCCGGAACATTTTCAAAAGTTCAGTTGAAAAAGATCTATGTTTTTTACAATATTTTAAGTTTTGAACGCCCCCTATATAAGGGGAAATTGTCCAATTTTAATAAAAAGTATGTCAAATGAAAGATGTACTTATAATGTATTTAGAAAAAAAAAATTTGTGCTGATATATACATTTTTCAAAAAGTTATAGCATTTTTAAGTTGAAAATTTAAAATCGAAAATCGAAAATTTTAACACAAAAATAGTGTTTTTTTTGAATATGGTAGCCATTTGAATATAGAAGATAGGTCGTCGGGACAAATTTTTTTTTTCATTTTGTAGTACATAAAATAAGCTTTAATTTTATATATGTTTAAAGGACGCAGTATTTCCGGAACATTTTCAAAAATTAAGTTGAAAAAATTAATTTTTGTAAAAAAGTTGCCATTTTAAATCCCCCCCAATGAGCAGGTTAAGTGATAGATTTTCAAAAAAATGATATCAAATGAAAGGTAAATATCTAAGGTTTTAGTATAAAAAAAAATTATGTTGATTTGTTGATTTTTCAAAAAGTTATGGAAGTTTTAAGAAAAAAAAGTGAAAAAATTTCGAAAATTAGCGATTTTTAAATTTGTAATTTTTTTGGATATTTCCCCCATTTGCGGGGAACGAGGGAATTTTTTTCAATTTTTAAGGGTAATGTCTTCAACTAGATACGATTTGTGATCTTTTGACGTATTTTTGAAAGAAATCGGTCCAGTGAGAGCTGAGAAAAAATGGCAACAGACATAAAAAAAAAAACACATAGTAAAATTAATACCTTCTCCGCTTCGCATCGAAGCTAAAATATTATTTTTATTTGTTTATTTTTGAAAAAGTTTTGGCAGTTTTAAGTACAAAAAACATCCCGATAAAATGTAATTTTTATCGCAAACATTACATTTTTTTTTTAAATTTCGACAGCCATTTGCACATAGAAGATAAGATGTCGGGACAAATTTTTTTTTTTCATTTGATAGTATATAACATAACCTTTGATTTGATATATGTTTAAAGGACGCAGTATTTCCGGAACATTTTCAAAAGTTCAGTTGAAAAAGATCTATGTTTNGTTATCAAAAGTTTAGTTGAAAAAGATCTATGTTTTTTACAATATTTTAAGTTTTGAACGCCCCCTATATAAGGGGAAATTGTCCAATTTTAATAAAAAGTATGTCAAATGAAAGATGTACTTATAATGTATTTAGAAAAAAAAAATTTGTGCTGATATATACATTTTTCAAAAAGTTATAGCATTTTTAAGTTGAAAATTTGTCCCGACGACCTATCTACTATGTCCAAATGGCTGTCGAAAATTAAAAAAAAAACTGTAGCACAGTGGGGTCGCGGCATAGTGGAGACATTGCATAGTAGGGTCCAGTATAGATTTAATCTGACAGTGATTAAAATCACTATCATAAGAAACGCTTCGATGCAAATCTGTAGATAGTGTTTAATTTTAAAAAATTGATGGATAATTGCAAAAGCAACATCAACTTCTATTAAAATAAAATACAAAACCCATAATTATCATACAAAAATAGTATATTTTTCAATATGGTAGCCATTTGCGTATAGAAGATAGATCGTCGG